CCTTCCACTATGCCCAGCACAGTGTCATGGTCTCTCCTGCTCTGTGACGCTGTAGTGGCAGACAGATCAGAGGCTCAAGGCAGCAGGGGCTAAGGAGAAGAGTAAAGATCCCAAATCTGTGCTAAAACCTGCATGAGATCTCAAACATGATCCAGGTTGCTCTTGCCTTGCTATCACAGCGTATCAAGGCAAGGCCTGTAGCATTATTTGTTTAACGTCACTCAGTAAAAGCAACAGGGCTTTGTAGCTTGGTGCTTGCTGGAGCTTTACGCTGGGCCGCTACCTTTGTTGTCTTTCTGTAAAGACTACATCTTTTAATCAGAAGCAAAGGCTGACAGTTTACAAGCTCCCTCTCTGTGGAGCTGCAGCAGAAAGCAGTGCTGGCACCCACCAACCTACAGAGTGGTGCAGTGAGGGAAAAGTACAGTGCATAACATCAGGCTCTCCTCAGGCTTGTTATGAGTATTCGTCTTAAAAAACCACATCCTGGCCACTGTTTTCTGCCCTCTTACTGACAGAAATCTTCCTCAGTAACAGTATGAGCTAAATCAACCGGATCAGTAAAATTACACAGTTGAAAAATACTCCCAACTGGGGTGGGAGATGCAACAGGCTGAGGATGAAAAGGCCCTTGAAGAAGCCCAGAAGACTGTTGCTTGAAGAATGGGCTAGAGGAAAGCCAGAGCCTCCAGCCAGATGCTGTAGTTGGCAGATCTGGTTCCTCCCCATATCTCAGGTCTCTGTCTATTTCTTTGCCATCGGGATGTGCTTAGGCACAGGGGGTTGTCCATGAAGTGTGTGGGAGGAGCAGTGCTTTTTCCTGAAATTACCAGCATGAAGGCATCCATCACCTCTGTCTGAGGAGCAGCTGAGCAACTGAAACCAACTGTCAAGATTAACCTGAACTTTTAATTGTGCTCCTTCAGTGAGTTGTTCTCCTGCACCACTGTGCAGGCACTATGTGGAGCAGCAAGTTTATGACTCAGAAAATGCTCACCTCTGCTCCCAAGAACACAGGCTTATTTTTCTCACTGTCCCAGGCACATGATGAGAGGATTGTCACTGCAGCACATTGACGGCTAGCGAGTATTTAGGGCTGAAATACGCTTGGAGACAGAGATGTGTGTGCTTGGTGAAACACTAGGGCAAAAGTCTTCAATGTAGGCAGATTTTCCTTGAAAGAGGAAGTTAAATCACAAATGAAATGTGAACTCAAGCCCACTTCTGACCCATAGGGTGACTGAAGATAACATTCTTATTCAGCAAGCCTGATCCTTGGGTGTACCTATGGCAAAACTTGCTCTCCTGACAGATCTCTAAGGCTATTTCAATATCCCCGTAATCCCACCTGCTCCGGACTCCTGTCAGCTCTGTAGAGCAATGCAGCTGCATGAGATGTGAGTGTCTTCTGCTTAGTGCAGCAACTGCATCGAGTGCATCAGCATGCCTGGAGGGAGGCAGGTGTCAGAAAGGGGACAGGTGAACCTTTGGAGTTATTATTGGTATGGGTTGGGTAGCTAGAGGTATGCTTCGGCTTAGCTGAGCCTTAAATTGATCTAGCAAGAGGTGTTGTTAGAAAAAAGCAGTGCTGTACAGAACTGCAGAGGGTAGTCAAACTGGATGCAATTAATATGGTGACTTGACAGCTCTGCTATAAATCATATTTATAAACCACAAAAGCGGGCTTTTCCTGCATTCACAACACCAAGGAGTCTGGGGAGAGCGAGCTTATTTATAAAGACAATATTGCTTGGGAACACGAGGCCAAGGAGAAGCCTTGAGAACAAACCGAAGGAAATCCTATCTTCCTGCTTTCACACATTCTCCTAGCTGGGAACACATGGCAGCACCGAGAGGCAGCCCGATGGACAACGGGTAACCCCAGCGGGCTGCTGTCGCCCCCTTGGGCCCAGCGGGCAAACACCTGAGGGGCACACCGCCTCCGCAGGTGTGAGGTCAGTGTGGCAGTGTCACCCTTGGAGGGGCTCCCAGCACAGCCTCTGGCCTCAGCTGACCCAACTGGCCTGGAACCGTCCCCTGGGTGTGGTGACCTTTCCAGAAGGTGGGAGGGCGGCAGGCAGAGCGGGTGCTGC